GGGGTGGCGGGGAGCCGCGGGAGCAGCCAAGATTATTACTGCTTGCTTCTGGCTGCTGTTCGCCCCTCCTCCAGGTACGTGCTGCACGCTCTTCTGAGGAGCGGCTCAGCACTTAAAGGGCCAGTTTCCTTTTTTTTGGTTTGTTTTTGTTTTGCTTTTCCTGGCGTCAGAAATTTGCTGTTTTCTACAGTTTTCTGGATGCTTAAGTTCCGGATAGAGCAGGTTTTACTGTATGTATGTATGTATCATACTTCATATATATATCACATTTATTTTCTAACAAAGTCTTACTATATGTTTGGAAAGAATCCTTGACACTGGAGACACCTCCAAAATAGGATATATTAATAACATTTTCTATGTAATTGAGAAATGGTTTGTCAAAAGATCAATGTCCAAAAACTTAAGGGGCATTTGCTTGCCAAAACTGCTTGTGTAATTAGCATGATTCCACGTCCAATCTATTATCTGTGCACAAACGGACAGTTTGTCAAATAGCTGGTCATTTGCAAGTGGGAATTCCCAATTTGCACAGTGAATTATAGTAACTGTACAAAAATTGGGCAAGCATATGCTTGTATGTATTAGCATCCATTTTTGCAGCTGACCTTTTGAAACTGAGGCCTTTGTATGTAAAAATGGAATAAAAGTGCTAATGAAAAATGTACAGGTAAACATACAACATATGTCAAGATTACAGAATAAAATAAACAGAGTTCCTTTTCAGTAAACAGAATTCTTTCTTCTCTCTTTATCCATTTGAGATTTTGAAAATATAACTGTTAAGATGATTTTATCAGGTTTATATTGGATGGTGCACACAGGTCTTTACAAAATCGGTGTTAACTGACAAAGGGGCAGGAAAAAAATGTCAGTCCCAAAATCAACAGTATCCTTCTTTCTAAACATTAAAGGAAATTTTATAATATATTTGAAGAAGAGAGACAGTTATTTCAGTGTTTTCCCTGCCACTTGCTTCTTCCTCCATCCTGCTCCTGACTAGTTTTAGTTCTTCTTCCTCCATCCTGCTCCTGACTAGTTTTTAGAGATGTATTGAATGTTTTGGCACCAATCTAAATAACAACATGCTATTCCTCACTAGTTCCACTTTATATAAACAGGTGACAGTACTTAAAAAAAGTGTTTAATGGTATTTTTACTATTAATGAGATTGGTGGGTTGTCTTATTTTCTAAGGGTCAGTTCTTCAAGCTTCACTTACAGGGAACAACAGTTATTCATCTATATGGACTAATATAAGTTGCTGGAAAACTTGCATAATTGCTATTCAGAATCAGAAAGGGTTGCAAAATTAGGTCCTAAAAATCTGAATTAAAATTTAGTATATTTTTCAAGTTGTGAATCATTCCTCATTCCTCAACAGCTGCTCTCAGGTAAGTTTATTATTACATTTTCAAATAACCCATTATCCACAACACCTGTCCTGTTCTTAAACTGGGAAATATCCATACAAAGTAGCTAGCTTATCACATATCATAGGAGTATTGGTAT